GGCCATTTTTTTTGGTTGCAGCTGTCGTTGTTGTTTGGCGGGTCCCGGCTGGGGATTCGAACCTGCCACCTTAGGTGTACATGGCTGGCGCCTTAGCTGGTTGAGCTATAGGTGCCAAGCCAGAGGAGGCAGATGTTATGCTCTCATTAGTAGTTGCTGCTTCCCCTGGTTTAATCTGGTCCCTTAACCTCAGATCTCGTTGGGAGATTGTCTTTATTTATTTATTTATTTTAATAAAAGAAACCTTATTAGTGTTTTGGAATTATTAGGCTTTCTATACTTGCCATAACACCGAAGATGTGTGAGTCACACCTGCAACAGGGAAAATGTAACTGACATACATTTTCAGTGAAGGATCTTTGTTATTATTTGTAATTCACTAAGTTCAGTGACATCACACATAACCTGTATCTGTTCCAGCCTTGGCACTGTCTTCACAGGGTTCCACCCCTTATGTAAACAAATAATTCTGTTAGACATTGTCCAGGAACATACATAGGACAGCCAAAACAACATAAAGTCAAACTTCTTTAAATGCACTTACCCCATGATGAATGGCTGCCAATACTGTGTAATTCTTAGCTATCAGTCACCTCAGCTATCAGGGGATTAGCACAATGTTCCTTACTATTTGAAAGCTATAATTACAGGCCCTGTACCATTTTTCTTGTTAGCTGTGTCCTAGAATAAAATATCGTTTTTTTTAAGAGACAGAGTCTCACTTTGTTGCACTCCATAGAGTGCTGTGGTGTCACAGCTCACAGCAACCTCCAGCTCTTGGGTTTCGGCGATTCTCTTGGCCTCAGCTTCTTGAGTAGCTGGGACCACAGGTGCCTGCCACAAGGTCCAGCTATTTTTTGTTGGGAGATTGTCTTTAAATATCCTTTGTGAATTTTTTTTTCACTGTGCTCTCTGGTGATATTGATCTTTTCAGTGATGATTCTATCTATTTACTATTGTTAATTATTACAAACCTAAAACCACTGACACTCTTACTTTTAAATTTTTGCCCATTTATTTTCTAGCCCTTTACCACATCTGTATTTTTATATAGTCACGGGTAATGTAAATATTGTTTTGTTTGATGTTTGACCTCAGCATTGTACCATAAAATATTTTTCCCCATTTCTGAATAGTCTTTGCTTTGGGGGGGGGTATGTTTTCTATTCTTTTGACTCCTCTAGAATCTTACCCAGAGCTGAGCATACCAACACGCTTCCTGGTTTGAATTTGTGAAAAATGTGCCCTGGCTTATGCAGGTCACAGCTGAAACCTGTGCTGGTGCAGATATTTCTGAACAGAGCTTTCCCGGAGCCCATGTGGTAGCCATGAGCAGACACAGGTTGGGTCTGTGCTGCACGGTCAGCTCTGTTATGTGAACATTGTCGCGTTGCATCTTTAAACAAAAGAAATCTGGCTCAGCGCCTGTAGCACAGTGGTTATAGCGCCAGCCATATACACCGAGGCTGGTGGGTTCGACCCCGGCCTGGGCCAGCTAAACAACAATGACAATTACAACAAAAAATAGCCGGGCACTGTGGCAGGCTCCTGTGGTCCCAGCTACTTGGGAGGCTGAGGCAAGAGAATTGCTTAAGCCCAAGAGTTTGAGGTTACTGTGGGCTATGACGTCAAGGCACTCCACTGAGGGCAACATAGTGAAATTCTTTCTCAAAAAAAAAAGAAAAAAAAAAAAAA